TTATTATTATTATTATTATTATTATTATTATTATTATTATTATTATTATTATTATTATTATTATTATTATTATTATTATTATTATTATTATTATTATTATTATTATTATTATTATTATTATTATTATTATTATTATTATTATTATTATTATTATTATTATTATTATTAAATTATTATTATTTGGCATTTTTTTGAAAATAAGAATAAAGATGCACAACAATACAAACATCTCCATGGGACATTTTCCAATAACTAATTTCAATACATCCACAAGCGCATCATATCTATTTAAATTTTACTCGCTCACACTGATTGATACATTATTAAGTCATCTGACTTTTTTTCCTCGCCAATTTTCACCGTACTTTTTTATCAACCATCTGAACATTGCTTGCGATGGAAAACGTAGAAAAAATTGCATTTTTCGTTTTTTCCCGCAATTTCTGATATGGGTTGGAAATGAATTTTCATTTAAAAGTTTTCAAGTTTTCCATCATTTCTGTTTTATGACACTTTTTGAATATTATAAAAATTTCGAACAAATAATTTTCAGATGGCAATAACAAACGTGATTAATTTGTACCAATTAGGAGTGGAACTTTTTCTTCATAACAATTAAGTTTTGTTATATTGAATTAAAAAATGTTTCTTATTTATTTAGTGAAACATATTGACTTGTTTACGTTTACTTATTGACTTACAATGCCCTATTATAACATCGAATCAATCTTTTTTAATTAAAAAATCATGAAACAATTCCCTCCAATTAATAGCAAAATAAGTGATTGGAATGAATGTCATGTTATCATGTTATCTCCATACCGACAATTTTAATATCGGGAACATCTCTATTTGTAATATGACCGATTAGAATAATGATAATCAGGCGGTGATGGGAAATGACAAACATTCCACTGAAATGATTTATAACAGTTCGATAGAGGGACACTTTCAAGATTAAGTCATCATCATTCGATACCGTTATATGGATAGATTATTAATTCATCAATCGAAATGTATGCTAATTACAATCAATTGGTATTTTACTTCACTGCTGTAGGCCAGTATAATACTTTGTGCCGAAAAAAGGGAATGCCCAAAAGTTTCTTCTTCCTCATGAATTATTTATTGCCTAATCTTTTATATTTAGTACAAAACTGTATTAGTAGATAGTGATTTCACGATTAAAATCGGTCATCTGATTTGATATAATCATTAAATGTTGAATCATTAAATGAATTTTTCATGAAATACTTTTGAAATAAATAATTGAAAAGTTACAATAATTCTAATTTCCAGAAATGGGAAATTGCATGAAAAAATCAATTTTGCTATTTATATTTATCACATCCCACTTCCATATTATCCATATACATTATTCTTATTTTTTCATTCTCTTTAAATTATGGTTTAGATTATTCTTTCAAACTGCTGAAATTCGAATTTGTTAACACTTTTACCTGAAGAAACAATTCAAAATATTATTTTTGTTGCGAATAAATTTAATGTGTGACAAAATTTTGCAAAGTTTCAATCAGTCATTGTTGTATGGTTTTGATGGAAGCAGAATGACAGTAATAAATAATTAATAATAGTAATAATGGTAATAATAATGATAATAATAATAATAGTAATAATAATAATAATAATAATAATAATAATAATAATAATAATAATAATAATAATAATAATAATAATAATAATAATAATAATAATAATAAGTAATAATAATAATAATAATAATAATAATAATAATAATAA